GCTTGGTCCCTGAAGTTCGGCAATTTTTTCTTTTGTGATAGCGATTGCCCTGAATTCACAAGTTAAATTTCATTTGGCTTGTTGGCTGAATTTTCGAGATGTTAACACGAATGAGATACCTACATGGCTTATAACTGACCTGACTATAATCCTTGAACGTCCTTTACTAAACGAGTAATGAGGAAGTAAGCGATCTATGTAGCGGCCTTAATTGAAAATGCATTAGTGCACTCGTGTATACATAGTCAGTTCGCCTTTTGTAGTTATATCTATTAAGATATTTTTTAGCTGTTTTAACGCCAGTATGCCTCTTGAATTCTGCTAATGACGCTTGCCACCCCATATTCTATTGCGGATTTTGGTTTCAACACCGTGTGAGGTGAACCATGTACTCACTGATAAACGCTGACTTCCGAGTCTGGTTATCGTCTCACACTAGAACAAGAAGCAGTCAATTCGGTACCCAAATGGTGGTTTCGTGCTGAAACAAGTGACTGCTCGGTCATCATCGTTGTATGCCTGCTGCTGTCGATTTCAGTCGAATAAAGAAATAGTGGGCGATGTGTCTGATAGGGTCAAAGATTTACAGAACTCACCCACCCACTTTGTGCATGTCGCAGTTGCTATGTTCTAGTCTCATCGTCACCGTGGATGTGGCTAGGTAGAATAGTGGGCTAGATGCGCTACTGAGAATTGGAATGGCTCCCGGAAGTGTGTGGATTCTTTGTCTTTTTGAGTCTATTCAGGATGACAAACATGCGAACCCGAAACGTCAGTTCTTGAAGCACTACGGGTTGATGAAGGTGATACTTCAGTTTTAGCTGATGACACCGCTGATATCGAATAATGGGTCTAAATTCCGCAAGAGGCTATCTTCAGAAATTCGGTTACAAGCAGAGAGTACACGGTCATAGATGGCTAATGACTCATTGAAGACGATCAAACTGGTGAACGTTCCCCTCATACAGCTCTGTGAAGGGATTGATTTAATCGTAACCTTAGCACCTGAAGAAATAAGACAAAACACGGGAGACCATGGGAACCAGGACAGGTGAGAGCAGTCATCTAACCCGACTGAACTTCAAGTGCTAACGACTCCGCAAAAAAGCAGCTAGTGGCGGACCCCTCAACGGTTGACACAATTTCCAATCTTAGTCCAACGTACAATAATTCGCTTTTGATGACTGAGAAACTGACCTACTTGTATACTAACGCACAAGGCCTTATTACTAAGTGTTGATCAAAATCCTTCATCGTCAGGTATCCAAGTATCGAGATATCATAATGATCACCGAAAAGTGGCTGAGCTGTGAAATTGCTGACGCTTAAATCTCCCTACCTTGTATGTCACTTCTCCTGAACGACAAGATAGGGAGAGTGATCATTTGTTACAAAACAAACCTTCGTTGTGAGCTCATAGATGAACCTCAAACGTGTGTCACTGATCTCTTTCGGACAAACTGTGGTTGAAGTACGACGATACATGCCTCCTGTGTGTAGTTTACTGACCACACTAATCCACTTGCGGGGCTACATGAGGACGAGTGGAACCACAGACTAATATACCAGAGAGCATAATATTACGCCTTTCGTAAAGGAATAAAAAACCCGGAAAAATACACACCCCCTTCCCCCCACCCTATCATCCCATTTATTAGACTCAAGATGTTAATCGAAGTATTCGATTGATGGCTCGATGAACTCCCAAGCAACTAGAACGGAGCGGACACGATAGTTCAAGGACCGATATTCACAACTGCATATTTTTTTTTCTTTCAGCACCGAGCTCCTACAACTCTTGAACTGTTATCGATGTATATCCCGGATCCCCCCTAAGCACCGGTAAGACGTTGTATGTGAGACACCAGGATATAATGCCTCATATTCGAGTGGGAGACTGCACTGAAGGCTCGACATAGTCTCAACCAGTGAGGAGTTCATTGGTCGAAAGTAGAGTGTCGTAGTGGTTGCCCACAAGAAATAAGTATGTTGCAAGCCCCCCCAGATTGTGTGGCAATCTTAAGGGACACCGAGTCACGACGGGCACCGTGATGTGTGTACTGTACCGCATTACCTGCTGCTACGGCCCACATACCCATCGATTACAGAGGACGTATAGAATGCCAATCTTTTCACGCCGTATCACGCGTTGTCCCTTCATTCGTTGGGTTTGAAAACGCCAATGACCTGGAAGCGGGTCCATATCCCCCCAGAGAAAAACCCTTGCCCCCTCCCAGGAATGTAACCATTTCCTGAAAATCTTTCAACCGTCACATATTCATAAAAAATACCGGGCCCATACAGCAGAGCCAAATTCTTTCAACCCTCCCCTTCAAATCAAAATTCCTTTCCTGGGAATCGAACCACGAAACTGTCCTTGGCCTTGTGACCGATCAGACATGGTCGTGTTTACATAAAACAACTTCCAGCTCAAAAAACGTGGACGGCGTTTGCACTCGCTAACTCAGCTCGTGTACCAACTGCTGTGCAGTTTGTGTCTTCTGTGAAGACACTTTATCCAACCAACAGGAGCTCTGCAATACAAATCCAGTTTCGATATCCACAAGCTTATGGCCAGACGCCCCGCCGTGGATACGACTTCGTTAACGGTGCAGCTCGGACATCACCCAGGAATCACTACCGATTGGTTGGGTATTCACACACACGTAGAAAGGAGCGGGCCCAACGCCTTACTGGGCTCAGGATTTGTCACTTTCCCACGGGGTTAATAAGCCTCGAACACTTATTGCTGCTCCCTGGTCCACTTACACCATCAGTTTGACCCAAAACTACCACAAATCACACGCAAATACCAGCTGCTCCAACTTTTACTATTCTCTCGCACCCCCCAGCACTCCTGGCTTTCCTCTTTCCCCCCTCCCCCCCCCCCCCCCCGTTTTGTGCACCCCGTCTTCTTCACCCACACGCCTTGTAGGTCCCAGTCCCTGCCCCTAGCTCACTACCCACTTGCTGGTCTTTCTGTCCGCGTGTGTCTAGATCAACCTCATTAGTCTGTCCCGTGGGAACGGGTACTCTATCAACCCCCTTCACCACAGTTTGAGACACCTCGGTCTGCTCCGCTCATTCCCTCTCGGTCAACCGCTTTACTTTGTGCTCGACAACGTCATGGAAGTGATCATTGCGGGCGACGTCGGTAAGGATGGATCAGCTGTGGGAAAGCAGATAGTAGACTAGTTGCGCTGGACCAAATACATGTTCCGTTAGATATCGCGCAGGTACCCTGAATCGCTGGATAGCATGAGAGTTCACAAGCCCGAAGCTCGAACCCAGTCGACGACCCACTCCCTGGGACCATGGACTATGGATGTTATACATGGAATTCGCGAAAGCCTTTCTACTCGCTTGAATGATAACTAATCATCCCGCAAAAACTGCAAGATATACAGCAATACCGGCGACTCTCCCTACAGTCATTTACACGCTACGGACCAACGGGGTTCCCCCTGGGGGTTAACTATCTCCCCCGCGACAAAACAATGGAGGGTTATTGGCCCACTTTTCCTTCTTTCCTCAGAATATCTGTCTTCCATATAGTTCCCCCCCCGGATTCGAGTGTGTGAGGATGATGCAGGGTCTCTCGCCCTCTACTAGGAATCAAATCTTTACTAGTATGCCGTTGCAAACGCAAATCGTACTGTCTGTCCCATGCCTTGTGAAATTTACTTTAGTTTTTTTTTTTTGACGGATCGCACCCGTTTTTTTCACATTGCTGTGTGTGTTGGACTAGGCCGTGTTGGTTCCTTGGACGCACTCCCATACATATTTCTTGTCCTTATTGCCCACCATACCCGCCCCCTCTATCCAAGGCGCTGAATGCACTAAAAATACTTCGTTGATCGATGCATTGTACTCACTGGAGATTCCATTCATGCATTTAAAATGAGCTAAAGCTTAGCCAGGGGGCTACCAAACCGCAATCCCCACGAAACGTGTTTATCTGCAAATCCACAATGATTTGACTCCACCTACGTTGCGAATGCGAAACCTCAACCCGTAAGTTGATATTAATAATGTTATGGTGTTCTGCTGTCGTCAGCCCAACGCTTCACTGTTATAGCAATTGTCTTTTCGCAATAATTCCAACACCAGGGCTGTTAAGCGAGATTGGCCGTTGTGTCGTAATACTCTTGTCAGTGCCCCCTTTCCCGCGACTAATCCCGTTCCCACAGCATCTCTTTATATGTCAGCACCTATTGATATGCGGCCAGACTGTTCTCTTTCTTTATTTTCAATATTGGACTGTGGCCCCTTGTTATCCACACTACTCACGTTGGCGTACATCCACCACGCTTTGTATGTGTATGCATGTCCCCTCTTTTTTTGTCTGGCAAAGCCAAAGCCTCCAGTCCCCTGACATCCTCGTAGTGCTGTTAATGACACCTTTGTTCACCGAAGCATCCGACTTCCGCTTCCTCTAACCCTTCTTCTGCATAAATCTACCTTGATACACTCCCATCTTCTCTTCACTCCCATCCTCCCTC